AATTGGCATAACAAAGCTTATTAAGAAAATGTTCTGCATCCTACTCTGATGAGTGGCGTCTGTGGTCTTAAAAGCTTGCAAGAGGCCATCTAAGATGCATCAATTGGTGCCAACAACCTGGAGTAAAGGAGAATGAAGAAAACCAAAGACACAAGGAAAGTATTAGCCCAAGAGACAGGGCCACATAAACCAGAGACTTCATCAGCCTGAGACCGGAAGAACTAGATGGTGCACGGCTACCACCAATGATCGCCCTGACAAGGAACACAACAGAGAGTCCTGGATGGAGCAGGAGAAAGGTGGGGTGTAGAACTCAAATTCTAGTAAGAAGACCAGACTTAATGGTCTGACGGAGACTGGAGGAACCCCAGAAAGCATGGTCCCTGGATTCTCTATCAGCCCAGAACTCAAACAATTTCCGAGGCCAACTCTTCAGACAGGGACTGGACTGGATTGGCCAACTCTTCAGACAGGAACATAAAGTGTTACTTGTGAGGAGTGTGCCTCTTAGCTCAAGTAGATACAAGAGACTAAACAGGCAGCTTCTGTCCGGAGGTGAGATGGAAAGGCAAAGAGGGTTAGGAGCTGGTTGAATGGACATCGGGAATCGGGGTGGAAAGGAGGAGTGTGCTGTCGCAAAATGGGGAGAGCCATTAGAGTCACATAACAATGTATGTATAAATTTTTGTATGGGAAAAAATAAAAATAAAATATTACCACAGATCAGAAAAAACAAAGAATTATAGCAGAATTAAATGAAATAGAGAATAGAAAAATAATCGAAAGAGTTCACTAGACCAAAAGCTGGTTCTTTGAAAAGTTCAACAAAATTGATAAACCACTGGCCAAATTGACATAGGAAAAACAAGAGAGGAAGCAAATAACCTATATAAGAAATGAGATGGGTGATATCATAACAGACCCAACTGAAATTAAAAGAATCATAACCGTAATAAGAGGAAAAGCTATTTGTAAATTATTTATCTTCTTTACTACTCCAATTTATTGCTGATTGAGTCAGGAAACTTTGAGTCCAAACCAAATTAAACACATAATTGTGACAGCGATGTTGAAACACATAATATCTGAACTTTGAGAATCTGAAAATTAATTGCATCAGAGTGTGTGTTTGTGTGTGTTTAGTAACTAAGTAAAAGTAATATTAATTTAAATATCAGGTTATTAATTTAAAATCCTAAGGAGTGTAACAGGGTCAGGATTATTAACACAGGTGGGCACTCTCACTCAATGCCCTCAGTAGCCCACTAAGGAGAATCCTGGCTGGTCAGGCAGTTACTGGGCCTCCTCCTTCTTAGGACTCTTTGCTAGGAGAGAGGAGTGAGGATGGTGGGAGAATGGGCAGCAAGAAAGCCCTGCAATCTGAGGATGGAGAAATTGGTTTGTTGCTCCATGTTCTGGGGGTTTGATGGGAATGAATGGGAGAAAGCTGCTGTATCTGAATGTCCTCTGAAGCCCGGTGGGAAAGGCCCAGCCAGGAATGGAATTTCTTTTTCATTGCTTCTGACTATAGAACCATATGTCCCCTGTAAATGTGCCTAACAGCATTTCAGAGGGACTTAGCCATAACAAGATTCAGCCGGGCTTTGCCTGCTCATCTACCAGGGGCAGGAACAGGCCAGCACCAGAGGCAGTCCATCTGCTTCTGGAGACTTCTTGCTATTGGAACCTTGTCATTTTCAATTCATGCTCACTACATTGAGTTTGTTCCCTAATAGAGTTAGTAAAGGAGGCCTGGTGGTACAGTGGTTAAGCACTCGGCTGCTAACCGGAAGGTCAGCGGTTTGAACCCACCAGCCACTCCGTGGGAGAAAGATGTGGCAATCTGCTTGCTTCTGTAAAGATTATAGCCTTGGAAATCCTATGGGGGCATTTCTAGTCTGTCCTATAGGGTCGCTATGAGTCAGAATCAACTCGATGGCAACGGTTGTAAAGGAAAGCCCTGAAACAAGCATCAAGAACAGACTTAACCAGATGAATTACAACCTGGACAGTCTGTGCATCACACTGGCGTTCTTAACATGATTTTATTATACTTTAGTAATAATCCAAATTGAATCAGTAACATGATTTATTGCAAATCTGCTAGATACAAGGTAATAAGTTTGGCTTCTATCGTGATTTACTTGAAAATAATGTATTGTGAAGAAAGGTTGTTTTACTTTTAAATTTTCTGATAAACTAAACAAGAAATTAAATACTGCAAAGTATTTTAACTGGTTGCATAGGGAAGTCCACGGTTTAACTTACTGCTACCACAGTACAACCCATCTCCCTCCCTGAATGTTTCTTGAGTGAAGGGGAGGAAGAAGGATGGGTGTCTCCACGCAGTGGGTAACCAGGCTCAGGTCACTTAGTGTAACACTTTGCACCGATAATGGAACCAAGCTGCTCGGACTCAAAACTCATTTCCCCAAGAAGTGTTTTGCTATAAAACCACTGTTGGCATTAGCTTCCAAGCAGAACTAGGTCCAGCCTGGGTTTGAGGCCACAATGGATGTCAAGCTTGTCTTTTTCCCACAATATGTGTGGTAGGATATAACATTGTACCGAAAGCTCTTGCTCTCGAATTCTCTGTGCTGGAGAGGATGACGCCCAGAGACAAAAAGAGAGAAAAGGATTCTGAGGCAGGAGGTATAGGGGCTGGACACCTGGGGGCCAGAACCTAGTCCCACCTCCAGCCTCAGGGCAGGTTTCTGCCCCACATTCAAGGCCTGGAACTCAGTCTTCCCGGAGAGCCCCACAGATCAGCCCCTCAACCTTTTGAGGTGCACACTCTAGCTTCTACAAAACGCGTTTTCCGGAGGCCAACTGTGTTTCCTCCCTCTTCGTTGGTGGGAGGAACCACGTCATTGGCCACTGGCTCGCGGCGTCTTAGTGGTTGACGCTTCACGCTCTGCGCTACCATTGGCTGAACGACGTTAGGGGCGGGGCACGCGCTGAGGACCGCTGGGTACAAGCGCTCTCCTCAGGTGGTGGCCGTCGTCGCCGGAGCACCTGTGAGAGCCGCACAGAGGCCAAGGAGAAGCAGCAGGAGGCGTAGCCCCTGAGCGGCTTCTGTGACCAGAGGGCAGCCGGGAGGCAGAGGCCACGACTGAGACAGGACTTAGCGCCTTGTCTCGCGTGGTGCCCAGTCAGGCCTCAGACGACGACAGAACCATGTTCCAGCGTATGGCTAAGGCTCTGAACTTCTTCTGGAGGAGGGCGAACACCTTAGAGCAGGATCAGCCTCAGCACCCAGGGCTCTCAAAAGGTATCCACCATGTTTACTCCCCATCCTCTAACGGCCTTCCCATAGGGGTGCGCTCCTCTTCGGGTCCCAGGCCTAGGGGGCGGGCTCTCAGGCTGGGGCGGCGCCATCTTGTGTGAGGGAGGTGTCCCATAGTCAGAGTCCCCAGGGAATGGTCCCGTCCAAAGTGGCGATGGTATTGGCAAAGAAGGCCCCTGGGGGGCAGCCCCGCGCCTGCGTTGCCCCAGACACCTTTGAAGCTTATCTTGTGCAGATGCCGTTTAAACGTGGAACAGATTCCTTTTTGTATTTCCAGTGGTAATGATTGCCCCGATTTGAGGGTCAATTTGATTTTGTTTCCGAAAGATCTTTTCAAGCCATGTGAGTGAATGACGTACCTGGCGGCAGAGTCGGGCATGAACTGGGTTTAACTTTCTCACCTTTATAGCCTAAAATCCTGCCCCAGAGTCTGGTACAGAGTGGATGTTCAGTGGGTGCTTGTGAAGACAGGCATTTAATTGCTAGGAGTCTGTTAAAACGTGACAAGGTTTCCTCGGGTAGCTCACCCCTGTTATGAGTTGCACTGATATTTAATGTGTGGTGAGTGCTTGTATGTGCCAGGCACTAGGCTAAGGGCTTTAGGAGCATTAATCCTCACACGACTTTTTTTTTAAGTCCAATGAATGACATAAGGAGGCCTGGTAGCCCAATAGTTAATTAAATGGCACGGCTGCTAACCAAATTGTTGGCGGTTCGAACCCCGGCTCCTCGGGAGAAAGGCCTGGCGATCTGCTTCCATAAAGATTACAGCCTGGAAAACCCTATGGGGCAGTTCTACTCTGTCACATGGGGTCGCCATTAGTCGGAATCGACTGCACGGCACCTAACAACAACAACAACAGTAATGAACACGGTGGTAGTATTACCAAGTCCATTTTACAGCAAGAGTCAGGTAGACACCGTCAGGTAAAGGCGCATACAGCTGGAATGTGGCAGACCAGTATTCACACGAGGCAGTCAGGCTCAGCATTCACGTTCCTAACCTCTACGCTCTCCAGCCTCTGGAGGTAGTTATTTCTACAAGAGTAATTTCACAGTGAATTCAGGATGAAATTTTCAAAGGGGTGCCTCTCAGCAGAGGCTCCTGCCTTCCTGGAGCTTGAATCTCTCTGAGGCTTTTCTGCCAGCTGAGTTTGAACCCCCTCCAGAGGTGGCTGAATCTTAGTACACCTTTGTCTTAGAGGGCTGCTCAGGTTTTGGCTGAAATCCCGTATTGTAGCATCTACTAATTAGCCCTAATTTTACCAAAAAGGCCACATAGAGGAGTCTTCGGCAGGTTTGCATATGCCTGAGTGGCAGCTGTCTCCCTTGCCGCTTAACTTTCTTCTGTGATAATGATTTCCTCTAACAAATGTTATCCAGTTTCTCACTTTATCAATATTTTCTTAGTTTCTGATTCTGTAATGTAGTATAATCGAGACTTCTCCCATCCACCCGGTCAATTCACCCACGTCTTTGGGGAGGCGGCTCTGGTGTTGAGGTTCAGAGCGTTGCTATGCAGGCAGATTGCCTGGGTTCAGATCCCAAACTATCCCTTACCAGATGTGCTTGTTCAGAAACAAAACTTCCCCCGTGAGTCAGATGCACTTTGGCGCTAGACTTAAATCCCCACATCTCTTTTAGTGCTTTGTCTGGCAAGATGTTTAAGAATTTCCAGATGCTTCTGCTGATGGTGTTGATGATAATGATAAAGTTATGTAACAATGTTGTTGTTGTTAGTTGCCGTCAAGTCAATTCCAACTAATAGTGACCCCATGTGTTCAGAGTAGAACTACTCCATAGGGTTTTCAAGGCTGTGACCTTTCAGAAGCAGGGCACCAGGCTTGTCTTCCTTCTGAGGTGTCTCAGGGTAATGGATGCTTAAAGACTCTGTAAATGAAGATATGATAACATTTAAGCTCTAACTTGTGTAAGGCAGTCATAGTTCTAAGCAGTTTACAAGGATGTGTCAGTTAATACAACAACCCTATTAGGCAGATATTATTATTGTCCTGGTGTTACAGATGAAAAGCGCATCAGAGAGGTTAAGAAGTGTGCCCGGGTCACACACATGGTAAGTGAAGGAGCTGTGGTTCAAACCCAGGCAGTCTGGCTCCAGACTCAGTGCTCGTAACCACAGCGCTTCACTGCCTGTGGCATGTAGCCTCGGTGCTATACAGAAAAAAGATGGAACCGGGTTTTTCCTTTTGAGATTAATTAATATAATCTTTTGTTTACCCATTCATAGATGACAGCAAGTTGAAAACCGTGCAGGGAGTTGTCACAAGGTTCTGTGATGATTATGGCCTGATTAACGAGTTAATCTCCTTTACTAATGACATTGTGACTGGCAATGTGCTTCTGGAAGTTGGACAAAAAGTTACCGCACTTGTGAAAGACGATGAAACATCTCATGGATTGAAAGCAATCAAAGTAAGATTTGCATGAATTTGGGGATAGTCTCTATTCCTGGTGTGATTTGAGCCTTGCTTTTCTTGTATTCATTCAACCTCTTTGATATACCCAGTATAATGGATAAAGAATGGAATTTGAAGCCCCACTGCATGAGTCTTTTGTTTTTATATCTGTTGTCTTTTCTGTTAATAAAAGTATAGATTGTATATGTGTTCTCCTAGCATTTAAAGTATATGATTGACAATGATAATTAATTTTATCATTGTTAACTTCCTTTCTTCACATGAGAAACGAATTTTTCACATAAAAATTATTTTCTGTAATATGCGTTTGTAGAAGTGGAATTGCTAGCTCAAAGGACCTGCATTTTAAGCACTTTTCAAAACAGCTTTATTGAGGTATAATTGACATACCTTAAAATTGTCCCATTTTAAGAGTACATTTGAAAGCCTTTTTCAGTAAATTTACAGCATTGCGCAACCAGGTATTTACCGTTTTAATGGGTATTATCAAATAATCCTTCAGCTCCACTGTACTAATTTACAGTCTCAGCAGCAGGGTGTGAGACTGGCTGTTTGCCAGTATTGATAAGGATGGAGATATTATCAGTCTCTCAAATCTTGGCCAATCTGAGAAAGTGAAAAGCAGTCTCATCATTTTATTTTATGTTTCTTTAAATGTTAGTGTGAGTAGAGCAACTTTTATTTTATTAGCACTACTTATATATTAGGATTATTAGAACTATTTGCTAGGGAAATTAGAGCTTTGTTAGGGAAATCATCATATGAAGGCTTTGCAAATATTTCCTCCAAGATCCTCTTTTGACTTTGTTTTATAGAGTGTAATTTTTAAGTACTATAAATATGTCCATCTTGTCTGTTGTGGCTTTTGAGTTCAGTAAGATTCCTTAGTGGAGCCTTGTTGGTGCAGTGGTTAAAACACTTGGCCACTAACCAACAGGTCATGGGTTTCAACCCAACAACTGCTCCGCGGGAGAAATATGTGGCAGCCTGCTTCCGTAAAGATTTACAGCCTTGGAAACCCTGTGGGACAGTTCTGCTCTGTCCTATAGGGTCGCTGTGAGTCAAAATCGACTCAACGCAATGGGTTTGGAAGATTCCTTAGAGAGGCTTATTCTACTTTATAATCCACACAAATATTCCCTTAGGTTTTCTTCTGAAAGTTATTTATTCACATCCAAGCATTTAGTCTGTCTGGAATTTATCTGGTAGTATAGACTGAGAGAAGGATCCAGATCTTGTTTTGCTAGTGGCTACCCAGTTGTTCCCATACCATTAAGTCAATAATCTACCTTTTCCATACTGAGTTGAAATGGTACATACACATTACCACAAGCATTTGAATCTATTGGGACTCCCTATTATATTCTATTAATTGTCTTGTCTTACCTTGGTAGTTTGATCAAAAGATTTGAATTACTGATGCATGATAATGCATATCAGTATATTTCAGAATTTGGTAGCCTAGTTTCCTTGTAAAACTTTTATTTTTATTCTTAATTTTCTTGGCCGTTCTCACATGTTGGTTTTTCTGGATGCATTTTAAAATCATTCTGTTAACTCTCCCCTCCCCCAACAACAACAAAACCTGTTGGGATTTTTTATTGAGATAACATTGAGCTTATCGATTTAATTTAGGGAGAATTGATATATTGACAATAGCCTCTCCCAACAAAGCATGTTTCTCCTCTTATATGCTTCTGAAATGTTTGATAGTTTTCTTTGAATAGGTTCTGCACATTCTTGCTAAGTTTATTTCCAAGATTTTTTTTAATGTTTTTGTTCTGTTATCAACATAATTTTACACTGTGTTTTCAAACTGATATTTTCTTCCTATATAGTAAAAGTATTGATTTTTGTTATATAATTTGGTAGATTGCAAACTTACTGAACTTTTTCTGCTGCTTTTCTTAAATGGTTAAGATATACTTTATTACTATTATTTAGATAGCAACTGGCCGCTCAGTGCTTACTATTGACTTTCTTTAAATTGAAAAGTTTTATATACACATAAAAATTATAATAAATAGTTCCAACTCTAGAAGGGTATAAAATGAAAAGCCAGAAATCTCCCTTCATGCTCTCCATCCCAACTTTAATTCCTCAGACATGGTACTTTTCATGGTTTCTACTTTTAGGTTTTCTGGTGGGCACCCGGGTAACTTGAATAATACGCTTGTGCCTTTTTTTAAGTTGGCAGTATTAGACAGTGTTTATTAACTTTGCATCATGAACACGTATTATTTATGTAATAAAATGAAACAAAATATAAAATAAAAACTATTATACTTTCAATAAACAGAGAATTTTGGATGCCTCCCTATTATAGATGAATTAAAGCCCTAATTTGACTTGTCTTTTTTTGAAGAGTCCTCTCCAGTTTAAGTTTATTTTTTCAACTTTATCTCATGCTTCAGTCCCTCCAGGGCCCCGATCTTTAATCTTACGGTTTTCCTTCTTGTTTCTCTCAGTTGTGTTTTTTCTCCTCCCTGTCTCCCTATGCCTGCCCCTCACCCCATCCCCATTTGCCAGGTAAAATCTTTCCCTTTTACATCTCCAGTCAAATCCCACTTACTCCAAGAAACTCCCTATACTTCCTAGTCTGAAACTCTCTCCTTCCAGGGAATTCTCAGGAGCCAATTTTTTTTTAATGACATTTATCACAGCTTCCTTTGAATTAGTAGTTATTTTTTGTCTGTTATCCCCAGTTATTGTGAATTCCTGGAGGGCAGGAACAGTATATTTTTTATCTTTGAATCTAATACTATCAGTGCATTAAACTTGGTGGGTATACAATTAATGTTTTTTAAATGTTTTTAGTTGCATTTTAACAATATATGAAGCTCAGGCATTATTTTACCATCATCCCATGTCTAGAATGTATTTGTCATCTGCAATACTACTGTTGAGTATAGTTGTTTAAAACATTTCTTGAACAACAATGATTTAAGCATATTATTTCCCATTTTAAAACTTTTGCTATGTTTGAAGTAACTCTTTCCTTATCTAACAGGTGGATGCTTTCACTGATAACCGTGGTGGTAGACCATTAATATCTGGTGTCAAAATTTTAATTGGTCGTATTACCTCTCTAATGAAAGGTGGTGGCTACATTAATAAGACGAATTACTTCTCTCTAGACATTGTTTGTAAAGGTATGATTTATATTTTTTTTATTTGAAAGGGCCAAATTAGTGCATGCTTCATTTTGTAGAGGAGTTTAGTACTAGAATAACTACTACCGTGTACTTGGCTTCAGTCTGTGCTCTTTCATGTTTGAGGTGAGCCTTTAGAGTTGAAATAATATATAACACATAATGCTTCTAAAAGTCATGCTGTTAGGGACAAATGTAATTTTTTTTAAGACTCATAGTATCACTTATTGTTCATTTATTGAATGCAGTCACTAATATCTGGATTTTTTTGTTCATATAAGTATTGAATTTCTAATCTAACTAAAAATTATTGCAAGTATACAGGGATATGTTGCTTTAAAAATATTTCACATGCTTCAAATAAGGTGTGGAGATAGCCTTGTACCTTTCCATGTATGTGTTTGCACATGCAAACCCATTGTTGAATTCTGTTTGTAATTAGCAGATATGTTATAAGATTTTATTTATACCTAAAGTGATAATTTGTTTATGCTATTTGAGTTTATTCAGCTACCATGTAGCTTGGGTACAAAAGAGGAGATTAGCTCAGCCCCACCAGGCAGTTTGCCATTTTACTTTTCCTGGATATAAAAGCCAGAACTCTGACCTAAATTGTGTTTCAAGATGTTCACCTGTATGCTTTGTTGAGAAGAGACTATACGGGGCAAGGATGATATCAGGAAGATCAGTTAGTAGTTCATTGTAATAGTCCTGGTGAGAGATGATGGAGACTTGGACCAAGATGGGCATTGAGGCTGTAAAAGTGGTTCGATGTGGATATAGTTTAAAGGTAGAGATGAAAGTATTGGCTGATGTATTGGATCTTTGGCATGAAGAAAAGAAGAGTCAAGCATTACTCCGAAGTTTTTGGTGTGAGCAGTGGTAAGAATGGAGTTACCTATTTGAAATGTGGAAGACTGAGAGGCACAATATTGGGTACATGAGAAGAATAGCAAGAGCTCAACTTACAGCATAATAATTTGAGTACACACTTGATATATGAATCTGAGGTTGGTTAGAGTTGGAGATATACACATTTTGGATTGATAAGCCTATGGATATGAAGCCACACCAAAGAAATGGAGAGAGAGAGGACAGCCCCAAGGCTTGCGTCAGAGGTCATTCTAAAATTTACTTGTAATGGGAATGAGGAGGAACAAGGAAAGTACTATGAAGGAAATAGGAAATGCTAGGCATAGTATAAACAAATGTTCAAATTTAGTAGATATTGCCAGTTTTCTGACATGGTTGTACCAAATTATACTCCTACCTTACAGTGCTTGAGATTTCCACTTGTTCCCAAATCCTTGCTGGTACCTTTGTATCCTGTGACTTACTTTTAACTTATTGTGAAAATCTGTTTGTAATTATTTATTCATGACTATAAAATGTAAGGTGTATATCTTAGAGTTCATCATCTGACCAAAAAGAAGTCTGGGGAAATTGATTCATTATTACAGTAGCAGTATTTCTCACTGCTACTGCTGTCACTAATAGCAGTCAACACTTATTTGGTGCTAATTATGTGCAAGGTACTATTCTATGAATTTTACACATATTGATTAATTGTCCCAGAAACTCTATATGTAAATACTATTATTCTTTTCATTTTATATATGAAAAACCAAGTTACAGAAAGGTTAAGTACCTTGACCACAGTTGTAAGCTAAGTGGCAGCATCAAGATTTGAACTCAGGCAGCCAGATTCAAATGTGTGCTCTTAACTATGTGCTTTACTGCTTCTCTCAAAGGACTCGGGAATGTGGCCAGTGCTGCTCCAGAAAAGATCGGGTCATAATGCATAGTTGCTGCTTTCCCCATTTGACTTTGTCAGATCAGTACAGGAGAATCAATGCCTAAAGTATTATAAACTTCCTGATAGAAAAACTTACAGCATACTTGTTTTAAAATGTTCAAAATGTATTTCAGACCTAATAACTGTTTTAAGGTACTACACTAAATACTTCAAAGTAACTTGTGAAATTTAATATTATTAAAAATTAGAGATAATTAAACTAAATTTTTCTTCCTGACTGTTTTAGGTTTTGAGCCTTATCAGGGTGACTGGGTAGAAGCTGATTATTCTACCCAGCCAGGCACACCAAGGCTCAGGATAACCTCAGTGAAGCCCATGAGCTGCAAACATGTGGATAAGGTAATTATTCGATTACATGTTCCACTTGTCATTTCTTTCTACCAAACCGTCTATTAGTAATAATTTCCACTGCCTAGAATTCTATTGAGTGTGCTGGGAAATCTAGAAAAATAGGAGAAAACACACTCTTTGGCAAAGAGGAGCCTATTTTCTTATTGAAAAGGCTGTACTGCTGAAAGGAGGTAATTAGAGAATACTATAGAAGGCATATAAAATAAGTTATAAATTATGTAATTTATTGGAGAAGTATTAGAATGTTCTGAGAACAAAAGGAACAAAAACAATTTGTATGCCAGAGAATTGTTGGGAAAGAATAAATGAAGTGGACCACGGGGCTTGGACTTACCTGTAAAAACTGGGTTATGATTTGAGCAGTGGAGACTGAAAAGGAGTTGGAAATTCATTTTGCACAAAGGTGCAGATGGAGGAATGAGCTTGGAATGTGACAGAGGAAGTAGGGGAAAAATTGTCATCAACTTACCACCACATTCCTTTCTTACTCAACCCCTTTCAATCTCTCAACTGTAACTATAGAGGTTGATAAACATTTGTGTAATATTTAGAGCAGTGTTTCTCATCTGAGATCCATCCCCGGAGATTCTGATTTAACTGGTCTCAGGTAGGGTCTGGGCATGAGGATTTTTACAAAGAACCCCTGGTATATCAAAAGTGCTTTTGACTATCTGCAAAACATCCAAAACTGCCAGATGTGACTGATTTGGAGTGATCTACAGTTTAGAGCCAGAAAGACAGTGTATACTTATAAATAAACATTTTCATGTATTATATTGACAGGTCTGCATTACTAGCTTCTGTGAAAGAAGTGGGGTGATAGATGATAGTATCTTTTTCACCTTGGATTCTCTGAAAATTTCTGATGGATATGTACCTCAAAGATTTGACGTCGTCAATGTGGTCATGGTGAAGAGCAATCAGTCATGCTACCTTTGGAGAGCACTTTCTATGACCCTAGTGAAAAGGTAGTAATAAAACAAAATTTTTATTCCCTGTGCAGCATTTTTCTCTGAACGTGAAAGAGCCTGGTTTAAATGTGTTTTGAAAGGAATAGTAAACTTAGACAGTTATGCCAGATAGAGTTTCTCAAGTAAATAGGGTTTATCTGAGTGTGTTGGCTAAACAGAGAGTATGTAAAGGGTGTTAGCAATTTTCACGGTGGATTAATGAGATTCCCCTCTTAATCCTTTGTAATAATCTCATATTGGTGCTTTTCATTTTATGTGGATCTTTTTTTAAAAATTGTGGTGAAAATATACATAATATATGCCAACTGGACGATTTCTACATTTACAATTCAGTGATACTGATTACATTCTTCAAGTTGTGCAACCATTCTTTCTATCCTTTTCCAAATCATTCTACCGCCATTAACATAAGCTTAATGCCCCCCAAGTAAAAATTCCCCCTTCCCCCCTGCCTCCCACCCCTGGTAAAGAAACAAACAAAAGACCAAACCCGTTGCCCTCGAGTCGATTCTGACTCATAGCAACCCACCGCTGGTAACCACTATTAATTTTTGGTTTCCATATATTTGCTTATTTCTTTTAAGTGAGTTCATACAGTATTTGTCCTTTTGCGACTGACTTATTTTGCTCAGCATGATGTTTTCAAGGTTCATCCATGTTGTGGCATGCATCAGGACATCGTTTTTTCTTTATGGCTAAATATGTTCCATTGTATGTATATACCACATTTTGTTATTCTGTTCATTTGTTGATGAACATTTTGGTTGTTTCCACCTTTTGGCTGTTGTGAAAAGTGCTACAGTGAACACTGATGTAGACGTTTGTTTGCATTCCTGCATTCACTTCTTCTGGGTATATACCTAGGATTAGGATTGCTGGGTCTTATGGTAGTTCTGTGTTCAACTTTTTGAGGAACTGCCAAACCGTTTTTCACAGTGGCCGTACCATTTTATATTCCCACCAGCAATGGATGGGGGTTCCAGTTTCTCCACCAGCCTCACCAGTGCCTGTTGTTTTCCGTTTGTTGTTGTTGTTTGGTTGGTTGGTTGTTTTTTGATCATTGCCATCCTAATAGGGATGAGGCAGTATCTCACTGTGGTTTTGATTTGCATCTGTCCAATGGCTAGTGACATGAGCATCTTTTTATGTGCTTGGCCATCTGAATATCCTCTTTGGTTAACTGTCTGTTCAAGTCCTTTGCCCATTTTGTGATTGGATTGTGTTTGTCTTTTAGTAGTTGTAAACATTTTTTAATATATTTTGGATATTAGACCCTTAATGAATACATGGTTCCTGAAAAATTTCTCCCAGTCTGTAGGCTGTCTTTTCACTTTGTTGATAAAGTCCTTTAAAGAACAAAAGTATTTAATTTTTGTGAGGTCCCATCTATCTTTTTCATCTTTTGCTGCTCATGCTTTTGTTGTCATATATGATAATCCATCATTAAAACCTAGGTGTTCCACAACCACACCCCAATATTCTAAGAATTTATGGTTTTAGTTTTCACATTTCGGTCCTTGATCTATTTTGAATTGGTTTTTGTGTATGGTGTGAGGCATGTATCCTTATTCAGCTTGTGGAAATCCAATTATCCCAGCACCATTTATTTTATTGTACTTTAAGTGAAAGTTTACAATTTCGGTTAGTCTCTCATCCAAAAATTTATACATACATTGTTATATGACCCTAATTGCTCTCCCTATACTGTGACAGCACCTTCCTCCTTTCCACCCCTGATTTCTCGCGTCCATTCAGCCAGCTCCTGACCCTCTCTGCCTCCTTCTCTCACCTCCAGACAGGAGCTTCCCATTTAGTCTTATGTATCTACTTGAGCTAAGAAGCACACTCTTCACGAGTATCATTTTATGTCCCATAGTCCAGTCTAATCTTTGTCTGAAGAGTTGACCTCAGGCATAGTTTTAGTGCTGGGTTGACAGAGAGTCCAAGGGCCTTGCTTTCTGGGGTTCCTCCAGTCTCAGTCAGACCATTAAGTCTGGTCTTTTTACTAGAATTTGAGTTCTGCACCCCACTTTTCTCCTGCTGCATCAGGGACTCTCCCAGCACCATTTATTGAAAAGACTCTTCTTTCCCCATTGAATGGACTTAGCACGCTTGTCGAAAATCAGTTGACCATAGATGTATGGATTTATTTCTGGGCTCTCAATTCTATTCCATTGGTCTATATGTCTGTTATACCAGTATCAAGCTGTTGTAATTACTGTGGCTTTATAGTATGTTTTGAAATCAGGAAGTGTGATACTTAACATTTGTCCCATATTTGGCCTGTAGGAACCTTCAGTCTGGCTTTTGTGTCCTGTCATTGTCTGAGCCATTCCTTTCTGACACGAGATGTTCCAGGCTCATCTTGTACTTTAGTCCTGACACAGCCATGTATCAGCCATTTCTTTAAGGAGCCCTGTTTCCTTTTAGTGGAGAGTATAGTGTTTAGAAACCAAGATCTGGGACTAGTTGTGCTCATTGCTATGGGGGTGCCCCTGCTCTCAGGCCCTCTCAGTGGGCAGCTCTAAATGTATGTATGAATATACACATATACATGTGCACACATTAGCATCCATATTTATTTCTGTATCTATTGGAAACTGTGAGTTTGTATCAATACCTCTAGTACTAGTCCAACAACACAGGGTTTATTCTGGGTTTTCCTCTCTTTCCACCTTTCCATGTTTATAGCTCCCTTTTCAGACATGTAGAACCCTACTTCCGATTTTCCTGGAGTCTATTTACTTAGTTACTCAGCCCTTCTGTATATAGCCAATCTCCTGACCCTGCCAGGCTGCCTTGGAGTGCCAGTTTGCCGTACTCATGGGTGCCATGGCTTCCACCAGGCCACCTTCCCACCTTTTTGGGTAGGCCTGCAGCCTGCCTTCCTATCCTTGATGGCCTACCCTCAAAAGATGGAAGAAAGGGAAGAAAGGAGCTCTCCATTGTCTTTTGAATCCCTGGAAAACTGGCTTACACCCACCACTCCATTGTAGTAGCTCTTGGAAAGGTCACTAGTGATCTCCACCTTAAGACCAGTGGTCTGTTGTTAGTCTTCATCCTAATCAAATTAGCAGCAACATTTTGTACACTGGTCACTGCTTCTTTCTTGAAACTCTTCCTCCACTCACTCTGGACTACATTATTCTCTTCTACTTCTTTGGTTAGTTCACTGACTCCCCTGTTTAAAGTTTGTGGTGTGCAGAATATTGCCCCTCTAATGTATGTATGTCCTAATTTCTGAAAGCTGTGAATATGTTACCTTGCATGGCAGAAGAGACTTTGCAGATGTAATTAAGGATGTTGGTGTCAGGAGATTATCCTAGATTATCGGGGTGGGCCCAATGTAATCACAAGGGTCGTTATAAGGGAAAGAGGGACACAGGAGTGTCAGAGTCTGAGAAGATGTCACGACAGCAGCAGAGGTTGTTGCTGCCAAGAGCCAAGGCTGCAGGCTGCCTCTAGAAGCTGGAAATGGCAAGGAAAGGATTCTCCCTTATAGTCTCCAGAAGGAATGCAGTTATGCTGATACCTTGATTTTAGTCTTATAAGACTCTGTACTTCTGATCTCCAAAACTGTACAGTAATAAATTTGTATTGTTTTAAGTCACTAAGTTTGTGGTAATTTGCTATAACAGCAGTAAGAAACAAATACAGCCTTTGCCAATTCTCCCTGCTCCTCCCAGTCCTAAATATTGGAGTGGACCCTTCTCTATATATGCTTATTTACCAGGTGAGCAGATGCAGTCCTATGGCTTTAAATACCATCTCTATTCTCATGACTCCCAACTTTTTGTTTCTAGCTCAGGACATCTTGTTATTTCTGGTGTGGGACTCAATATACAACTGCCTAGTTGATAATCCATTTGGATGTCTCAAAATTAACATGTTCAAAACTCAGCTTTTCCCCAAATCCAGCTCTTCCCACAGTCTTCCTCATTTTGATAAATGGTAACTCCATTATTTGAATGACTTAAGCAAAATACCTGAGAGTCATTTTCAGTATTTATTTCTTTTATGCTCCTCAATCCATCCACCAGCAAATGCTTTTGACTATCTGCAAAACATCCAAAACTGCCAAATGTGACTGCTTCCTCCAATTTTCCTGCTGTTGCCACCTTGGTTTAGGTGGTAAGATCAGCTGCAACTTTGAAGTGAAAGGGGAGAAACGGAGGTCATTTTATTGGAATTTTTAGCTGAGAAGGGAAAGCTGGTGAATACCCAGGAGAAAGGACGTGTTTTTAGGAAAGGAAGAATTTGAGCATGTTTATAGAGTATGGCTGGAGCTGGTTGAGAAGGGAGATGGTTGACGTTCAGGAGATGGGAAAATCACTGTTGTGATTGTGAATGTCAATACGTTTGTGGACAGGGAGACAGGAATTTAAGGGAGCTCATTTCTTGGAGGCCGCTATTCTCTTGATGCTGTTGGAAGCTAGTTCTGTTGCTATTTAATGGAGTGGAATAGTCTGACCTGATCAGATTACTTTCTGGAAGGATCATAATGGATAGACAGTGAGTACAATTAAACTTTCCGTTTTTGTAGATCCAAACCACAAACCTGTTGCAGTCAAGCTGATTCTGATTCATGGTAACCCCATGCGTTACAGAGTAGAACTGTGCTCCATAGGGTTTTCTTGGCTGTAACCTTTACAGAAGCAGATCGTCAGGCCTTTCTTCCATGGTAGATCACCTCCTACTATACTGGAACAGTAATATTGTTACCCGAATAGGGTCCATGCTCTGGAGCAGTCGAGCCAATGAAACATACTCCAAGACAGAAAGAGTGAGAAGTTTTATTTTAGGAGATATACACCACCAGGGATCCTAGAGCAACACAGGCTGTCTCTGTGGAGTCCCAAAAGGCATTTTTACATTAGAGTTTATATATGATTTTTACAAAGGTTAGAAGTGTTGTTATACATCGTAAGATAATTACAAGAGACTCTTTATCATACTAAAGAGATACCTGCCAGACATTTCCATATCTGGGCTCTAATCTTCCTGTGGGGGTCATAAGCCACAGGTGGCCGGACAGAGCAAAACAAAGTCATTAACAAAGGTATGTGAAAAGGAGAAGGCAAAGAAAAAAAAAACTTATAGGTTCATCATGGCGTTAGTTATGTCAAGCTCTCAGTTGCCCGTTTTGAAAAGGAGAAAACGTGCTGGGGAGTATTAGGGTCACCATATCTATAGAATAAAGTGAAATAGAGATATTCTGAGGTGAAGGCAAAATCTCATTTTATCAAGAGAAAAATTCATAATTTAGTTGCTTTTAAATATTTTTGGGCAGCCAAACTCTCCTTTCAAATGAAACCCAATATACAAACAGAGAAAATTGGAGGTGACTGTTTTTGACCCCTTCCCAGTTGGCCTCTCACATCTGTCTTTTCTTTAGCCTGTGAAGCAGCCATAGAGAAGATAGCCTGAAAGCACTGCTATAACATTTCTCCTGAGAAATAGAGATTATCTCATCTCATGAATGATATTATGAATGTCTTTTCAGAGATACGTCCAACTTGTGGAGACAAGTCCAGATTATGTTCTCGAGTCAGCAGCTCTTTTGAGATGGCAACAGTGTATCACATCCTTTTCTTCTGATTTTATAAGATTTTATTTTTTGTTCCTTCAGATGACTTGTGGGCATTTTTATAATATCTAAAATTGTGTAAAAACATATGTGGTTATGTAGCTTTATCTAAGTGTGCTTGTTTTTTGTTTGTTTCTTAAATCTAAGTCCTCTATCAGTTTGTCATAGGTACCTTTGTTTTATAGATTCAGAAGGAGAGTGGAAATCCAAGGAAGTGGGTAGTGTTTATATAGGAATGCTTTTATGAAAATGATAATATCGTTTATTTGATTGCTTTATCCAGAGACTCTCCAGACTTTACTGAGAGTACTGATGAATTAGCTGGATCCCTGTTAATGGAAAACAAAGGCAATATTGAAGTTTCAAATATGATACATTTTGGAACCTTAAACGACAGAGAAAGTAAAACTATTAGGATCTGGATTGAGTAAGTTTGCCACTGTAAAGTTTTAAGTAGAATTACATTAAGGGTTTTTTACACCATAATTAAAGAATTTCTGCACAAATAAGTTTGCTTTGCCCGTTTGTTTTCTTTTATCTAAATCCTTTCATTTTTCTGATCCCAAATTTGCCTTTTCCTCTATATTCATAAAAGTATTTCAGACTGCCATTCATTAGTTAGAGGTCTTTGCTTTATGCCCCTGCTTTATGACAACTGAATATATTAGAGTTAGAAATACTGTCTATGTTCATGATTAAATCTCATTGTTCAGGAATAAAGGAGAATTTCCTCAAAACTTAGTCAGATGCCAGTTTGTTGGCTGGGAAAAAACTCAACAATTCGGATTGCAAATACCTGATGAAGGCCAAAAGCAGCCAGTGGTCTCTCATGTTCCTGCTGATCCTGGGAAGGAGAAGAAATTTTCAAAGAGAAATATTAATGAATTAAATAGAGACAGAAAAGAAATGACCCCTCAGACATCGGACATCAGTTTGGCGGACAACAGAGAATTCTCTCGAGGTATGCGTTTAAACTATTTGCATGGAATTTAAAATTGAGTTTTGGTTTAACACCTGTAAACCCATATAAGACTTTAGTTTGTTTTGTTAAACAGAACACCTTGTCAGAACTCCTGATCTTCAGTGTATATTTGTGTTGGGGGCGGGGGTAGGGGAAAGGGGGAACAATAGTGGGCCAGATCAAGCCAGGCTATCCTTGTTCTTCATGCTCTGTACTGTTTTTGAAACCCCTTTACTCCTGCTCTCTCCTCTTAATGTTTTCAAGGGAAACTTAAATAGCTTGACCTTGACCCATACCAAGAACTGCTTCTGATTTTGACAATTTCTTAAGAGTGCTTCTAATTTGGGAAAAAGCTGTGAAGGCGTGTTCCAGATTGTCGTCATGTTGCCATTGTTTCTTCTCCCTCAATAACTTGGAAGATTTTTTGTAGTTTTACCCTGTTCCTACTTCTTCTTGGCATTTTTTTTACTGTACTTTAGATGAAGGTTTATAGAGCAAATTAGTTTCTAATTAAACAAGTAATATGCATATTGTTTTGTGACATTGGTTGCCAACCCCATGACATTACCAGCTTTCCTTCCCCTCCTGCCTTCTCGTGCTTGCCCCTGGTCTGGTGTGCCCATTTAGTCTCATTTTGTCTTATGGGCCTGTCTAATCTTTGGCTGAAAGGTGAACCTCAGGAGTGACTTCAGTACTGAGTTAGAAGGAAGTCTGGGGGCTACACTCTCGGGGTTTCTTCAGTAACTGTCAGGCCAGTAAGTCTAGTCGTTTTTAGTGAGTTAGAACTTTGTTCATATTTTTCTCCAGCTCTTGTTGACATTTTTATTTTTTCGTTTATTGTTGTAGTTTAAATGAAGTTTGCATTTCAAGTTAGTCTCCCATACAAAAATTTATACATACATTGTTATGTGACCCTAATTGCTCTCCCCATACTGTGACAGCACACTCCTCCTTTCCACCCCCGATTCCCCATGTCCATTCAACCAGCTCCTAACCCTCTCTGCCTTCCCATCTCACCTCCAGACAGAAGCTGCCCGTTTAGTCTCTTGTATCTACTTGAGCTAAGAGGCACACTCCTCACAAGTATCACTTTATGTCTCACAGTCCAGTCCAAGCCCTGTCTGAAGAGTTGGCCTCGGAAATTGTTTTAGTTCTGGGCTGATAGAGAATCCAGGGGCCATGCTTTCTGGGGTTCCTCCAGTCTCATTCAGACCGTTAAATCTGGTCTTTTTACTGGAATTGGAGTTCTGCACCCCACCTTTCTCCTGCTGCATCAGGGACTCTCTTTTGTGTTCCCTGTCTTATTGACATTTTTAAATAGGCTGCCATCCAATGCTCTAGGGTGGTGTTCGTTTTTGTATCTGAGTATGTGTGTATATATGTACGGATATTTATTTCCACTGTTGAAAACCTTTTGGTCTAATTTTGGATTTAAACTTTATTGGATTAGATGAATATACCTTGCAAGGAGAAAATAGACAAAAACGAAACACTGTATCCAGGAGTGAGATTACAGATGCTGATCTCAGTGGATATGGACTAATACCTCCAGGTGGAAAAATCTTCATTATAGTTACCTGTGATGCAAGGTATGTGAATTGGGAAGTTTGGAATGAGTTTACTTTGGGGACATGTATTCTTTTTTCTTTTTAAATTTCATCTGAGATACTTATAGGCTATATAGTATTAAGAGTATTCACAGACTATTTTGATGTGACAAAATCATGTAAAAAAGCATTGGTCTAGATAATCCCTTTATATTTGGCGAACATGAATTTTAGCTGCTTCAAGCGATGGATGCTCAAAACTTTTACAACTTGTAATCCTACTCCCTTTGTTCTCAGCAGCAGATTTAAGTTCTTACTTTACAGAGAAAATAAACATATTCAGATATGAACTCCCTACATTTCTTTCATCCCTTCTGCTCTTGAAATTATTTATCTCTCTATCCATGTTTACTACCTTCCTTATGTTTCTTGTAGCTCATTGATGACTGACTCATTTCTGAGACCTTTTTCCCATCCACCCAGCCTTCTAGCCATTCAGCCATCCAATCATCAACCACCTCACCAAGAGACAGATAAGTAGGCCATTAAGGTGCAGTGTGATAAGGGCTGTGATTAGGGAAGCATATAACATAGGATCAGGGCATCTAGGTCCTCCTTTGTGATCCCACAATACCTTGTCCATATTTTTGTCATGGCACTGTGAGTTCCTTGAACACAGGGGTGGTGTACTGTTTGCATTTAATCACTGATATTATTGTACTCATTGGGAAACATGAATGAGCTTATAGAGTGAAAGGAAGGGAAGCCTGAAAATGCATGAGTTAGGAGGTATTTGAAGCAAGATTCCAACGGAGCAGCAGAGAACACTTTTCTTACATATCTTGCAATTCTCACTTACCTACTAAAAGCCAGGCCCGGGAGACACAGAGGTGGTGGGCATAGGTCTTGTCTTCCAGGAGCTTACAGGCAGGCAGGGAAGGCAGACTGGTAAACCAGCAGTTCCAGTAGATCTTGGGGTGAGGGCAAAAAAGGGGTGTGTTATCTGATTCTTGGGAGAACTCACATAATAGGTAAATGATATTTTTAAAAATGTTTATGACAACATAAAAACATATTTCTTGAAATAAGTGAAAAATAAAAGTAGGTAATCGTGTATACAGTATGTTCATAGTTAAAAGCAGAAAAGTGGCAAAAAGTAAAGTCAGTCATTTTGTATACTTTTCATCATGCTACACAATTCTAATTTAGACTTGGGGGATACTGAAACTGTTTTTCGTGTTGTTTCTAAGTTTATGAATTAAAAAAAGACAGCTTAAGTGCCTAATTTTATCTTGAGAAAATATTCATTGCTTATTTAAGAAAGTCCTTTTTTTTTGCCCTGTAAAATGAATGATTAAATGCTGCTCATGATCACTGTTTGTTAGTTATGTGACTTTTCCTATATGCTCCTAAGTGAAATTATGTTGACTCTTTGTCTGTTTTATTTATAATTAAAAATAAATTTTATTCCTTTGCTTTCCAAGAAATCCTGGCCACAGCAAGGATCTCCTTTTGTTTTTTTTCCCTAAATTCACAATTGGGCGGTACGTGGAAGTAAATGTAGTAAGTGCTGAGGAGTCACTCATAGCTGCCACAGAACCATATTCTTGGAAAAGGGCTGAAAGTTCCCAAGCATTGCATCCCTCAAAATCGGTTGTACTCGGGACCAGACTGAGAAGGTATTGTAACTAAAATAAGCCAGTAATGAGTATATCATTCTTGGTATGTCATCTGTTTGCTTGGCTATTTTCTCTGTTATAAAGAAACTGACGTGCTGAACATTTGCCCCGTGGTGGGCACTGGGCTCTGCCTTTACCTATTATTATCCACCACATTTCTGGGGAGTCAGCTGGGGGTTTGAGTCTCCTTCTGTTATTTTTCACTTTTTCCCGTTGTATATTCACTGATGTATAATTCATTAAGTATCCATATCTGCCAGGCACTGTGCTAGGGATTTGATCTTAAACTAGGGAGAGTAAGACAGACTTATGAGCCAGTTGTTACAGCAGTGTGAGGAGCCTGATATTTGAATGGGCCTTGGACTCTACCAGGCTAACTCATCCTATCATACATCACAGTGTGAGGCTCATACAATTGTTGGTATCTGGTATCTCTAGGGACTAGAAAGATAAAATCTGACCCTTGCCTCATCTCTTGCCACATCCCTTCATGTACCCTACAGTCAACTAGTTCCCTATGAGGGAAGGGATTATCTCTTACTCATCTTTGTAGCCCATCTAACATAGTGTCTAGCATAGCCAGGAACTCAATAAATGCTGCATACATGAGATGCAAAGCTGCTTTGCCCTTAGTGATCAGACTTAGTGATCACTTATGGAGCCCTAGTGGTGCACTGTTTAAGAGCTCGGCTGCTAACCAAAAGGTCGGCAGTTCGAATCCACCAGCCACTCCTTGGAAGCCCCATGGGGCAGTTCAACACTGTCCTATAGGGTTGCTATGTGTTGCAATCAACTCGATGGCAGTGGGTTTGGTTTTTTTTTTTTTTAAATGGTTCCTTGAGGGTTATTTGAAGGTACATTTACCTATTAAGCCTGAAAATAAAGAAATTAATTTACTCATTAAGAATTAAATTAAAAAAAATTTTTTTTTCCTAAGTTTGGTACCCAAATTGGAGAACACAACCTGACCTGAAGGGATGTGAGGATATCTGTAGACTGTGTTTATCCCATTTAGTGTGAGAATATCCATGCATTGACTGCATTAATATTGGTGGATAGTGCTCCAGGTCCCACTGAGGGTGTTATGTGCTACTTTGCTAAAACTGGGAAATTCTGAATGCCATAACACATTTTCCCCAGTGATTTGGATAAGGGCTTATGGACCTGTACTCAGTTCCAGGCTGAAGGAAAAATCCATTATCAGAAAGCGGCAGATTGTGTTGTGGTTTAGAGGCAAGCTTTGCAGTTTAAATTACAGTGCTTCTACAGTTAGCAGTATGACCTTGAGTGAATTTCTTTTAACGTCTCTGAGCCTCAGCTTGAGGCATAATGTAAGAAGATAATTGTTCCTATTCCATATGGTATTTGTGATGATGAGATGAGATAAAATATGTAAAATACTTTGTGTCATTGGTGGCAGAGTAAGTACTCAATAAATACTAATAATCTCTGTTACCATTAAGGGGCTAGTCAGTATAGAACCTAGAAAAAGGTATTAAGAAACTCACATTGCCTTGCAAGGCAGTGGAGGGCCAAAGGCTGTTGTGAATGAGCCTTTAAGAACTGCCTTGTTTCTACTTCAGTGGCACATTAAGCAACTTCCTGATTTTCATTTGGCTAATGTAGAGGGAAAGAGAATACACAGATCAGCCACCACAAGAATTTTATTCCTCACTGTCTGTTATTTCTCTGTGAATATTGTTATGGATCGAATTGTGTCCCCCAAAAACGTGTGTCAACTTGGCCACGTTTCCCAGTATTGTGTGCTTGTCCACCATTTTGTTGCTGTCTTTGTGAAAGCCATGCACTTGTGGTATTTCTGTTATAGCATCACTAGATAACTAAGACAAATATTAATACATTATCACTGTATAGGAGCTTCTCTAAAAAAAGAAACATCTGCTTCCTGCCAATCCATTTTGTGAACCCACGTACCTGACCCTGATTTCCTCAGAGTATATGTAAAACACAGAATTTCTGGATCTACCAAGCCAAGGTTTTGGACTTTAGTGATCCAACCATGGTGACAGTCCAACCATGCTACTGCCCTTAGTGGGCCCGGATCTTTCAACTATCCAGCATCAATCAATAGCAGCTCTCAGTCTTTGCTCCCTCCTTCTAAAAATGTATTCATTCATTCACTGATTTTTATTTTTATTGAGCTAAATATTTATTGAGTATGCTTTTTATGCAAGGACCTGAGTTAGCCATCCTAAACCATAAGGAATCACACATGCTTCACGGAATAATTGGGTTGTTTGTATCTTTTAAGGGCCACACGGTAGGGTCGGATATTCAGCCAGCTAACTAAATGTGTGTGGGGCAGCCATCCTTGTTCACCTTTACTTATTCATGTTGCACCCACTGCTTTTTACATATACTTCCTATATGCTGTCTAACTTAATGCTTCACCACAAACTTATGTGGTTGATATCTATTTTTTACCCCATTTTTCAGGTAAATAGGTTCAGAGAGTTTAAGTAGATCTTTCGGTGCTATTAAGTGGTAGAACTGGGGATTGTCCATCTGTTTCTGACTGCAGAGCCTTTTCTGTATTCAGTTTTCTTATTCACAGTTGGGGTGAAAGAACTCAGCTCTCTCCACTGTCTCTCGAGCAAGAGATGACAATTTATGGCATATGGGAATTGGGAAAAACCACGTTCCCCTCATTCCCAGTCAGAGATAAACTGGAAGGAAGAGCTAGACGAGAATAAGAGGGAAAATGTAACATACCTTTCTTCACGGTACTTGATTTACATGTAGACCATCTCTGACTCTGGACCACTGGAAATGGTGTTTCTCAGACCTCAGTCTTTGATTTTTTTTTAACCTCCCTTTTCTTTCCCATCCTTGCTTCTCTCAATTTTTTTACTTCCCTATAATTCCCATTGATATGTTAGATGTGCCTATAGTAGCTAGTGGTGCTCCTTATCCTGCTGGTGACAGAAATGTTACAAATTTCTGCCACAGTCCTTTCTAGGCATGGCCCAGAATCTCATGTTTAATACTGTAAACCCTGCCAGAGAAATGCAGGCTGACAAAAAAACAGGAAGATAGGGTCCAAGCAGAGAAAACTTTGCTAAATGTTCTTGTTTGCACATGTATACAGCATGTGTATAATTTCTGATCTTTATCCATCAGTATTAAAAATACTGTCTTAAGAACTTCGTTAATTAACAGCTTGAAGACAGTTATTTTCAAACTCATGGTTCCATGAGGTGCCTTGAAGATCCAGCCCCTTTCTCTCTATCACAACCAGAGTAGCCCTGCCTTTTATCTTCATGTAGTTTTTGAGTGTCAAGTAAGACCTTGTTTGAAATATTTTTCCCAAAGCTGAAACAAAAGTTTGAATACTACTGACTCAGGCCAGCAGCTAATAAGTATATCAGTTACGTTTTGGTGAGTGAATAAATGTGGGTCTTTTTAAAGTAAGAAAAACATGTTTAAGTTAAAATGTCTGGTATGAAAGACTTATTCTGGACAGTTCATAATTGCTTTAAACTTCTGTTTTGTTTTGTTTTTTAAAGGCATTCAAGACGAACACTTCCAAATTGCCTTCCATGCTATCCCATCCCAGCAGCACTTAGAAAATGTGTGGAACAAAAGATGGACATACTGACTTTTCAGCCACTTCTTGCAGAGGTAGGAAAAGTTACGTCTGTGATTGTGTATGAAATGTTTGGCCTTTCCTTTTGGGTTTCATTTTTTGATCTGTTGAAAGTAAGGATGTCCCCCTTCTCAGATCCAGGCCTTATTTTGATTCCTTTTTTTGACAGCTGGGAATTTCAGGAAAATGAGAGATACAAACTGGCAAAAGAAGTTTATTGTCCCTTTGTGCCATTGAAATTATGCACTCACATATAATTCACATTACTCTAGTCTACAGCCATGCCAGGATGTAGGTGTCATCAGTGACCCTAATAGTTTACTTTACCTGGTCTTTTGGGTGCTGATGACCCTTTGTCTTCAGCCAGGTCTCTCTCAGCTAGACTAGTAAGCCATTTGAGCTTTGTTGAGGTATAATTTACATACCATTAAATCAATCCATGTTAGGTGTATAATTCACTGATTTTTAGTGAATTTGCAGAGTTGTGCACCCAGTATTGCAATCCCATTTTAGAACATTTCCATCATCCCAGAAAGACCTTCATGGCCACTTGCAGTCAAACGCCATTCCTATCCCTAGCTCCAGGCAACCAGTAATGTGTTTTCTGTATAGATTTGCCTTTTCTGGACCTTTTGCATAAGAGGAATCATAAAATACACAGTCTTTTGAATCTGGCTTCTTTTACCTAGTATAAAGCAGTTGAGGTTTATCCATGTTGTAGCATATAGCAGTCATTCATCTTTATTTTATATCCCATTATATTTATCCATTTATCAGTTGATGGACTATTGGGTGGTTTCCACTCTAGGGCTATTATAAATGATGTTGCTATAAATATTCATGTAGAAGTCTTTGTGCACATCTATTTTCATTTCTTTTGGGTAGATACCTAGGAGTTGAATTGCTAGACTGCATGGTAAATTTATGTTTAGCTTTTGAAAAGGCTGCCAAACAGTTTCCCAAAGTAGGTGCACCATTTTATACTCCCACCAGCAATGTATGAGGGTTACAGTTTTTCCACATCCTGACAAACAATTGGTATTGTCTGTTTTATTATAGCCATTCTAATGTGTGTGAAGTGGGCCTGTAAAAGCCACACTCTACCCCTTTATGAATAAGCTCAGGCAACCAGAATAAACAAAAGAATAGGGACAGTGGGTCACAGGGACCAGTGATAGTAGAAAAAGGCATGGATGGCCGCTAAAGGTAGAGGGTAAAAACCTGCCAATTTGAGGAGTGTGAGGCACTTTCCAAATGCAAGGCAGAGCCCTCATACCCCCACAGTTCCTGGGACCATTGATTTATAGCATAATAAAATAAAAAACCCGTTGCCTTCGAGTCGATTCCAACTCACAGCAACCCTATAGGACAGAGTAGAACTGCCCCTTAGGGTTTCCAAGGAGCGGCTGGTGGATTCGAACTGCCAACCTTTTGGTTGGCAGCCAAGCTCTTAACCACTGTAGAGTGGTTTTAAGAAATCTAGATTTCATTGAACATGTGATTGAGTACAGTGTCTATGTTCATGAGTTGAGTGAATATTTTAGCATAATAGAAACCCTTAATAACTGAGTTAATAAATTATGACCTTAAATTGCTTCCTTTGTGTGGCGGTTGGGTTATGTACAGCAAATTAAGTCTTTTAGAATTTCTTTGTTTAAAACTACCTACTCTGTAAACTTGGTATATCACTGACATGCTATACTACTTTCACTAACTTCTTGATGTTTTGTTTTCAGCTTTTGAGTATGTCAAACTATGAAGAGAGATTTTCAACTTTGCTATGGCTTGAGGAGATTCATGAGGAAATGGAAATGAAGGAGTTCAGTATGAGTGGAGTCATTTTAAAGAAGAATGGGAATTTCTTGGTTTTGGAGGTCCCAGGATTATCTGATAATAGACCACATTTGTATCCAGGTGTTTTGTTACTTGTCACGTTTTAATGTAGTAGGTAGAATAGCAGAAATTACATCATAATTAGAACAATTGTTTGTAAAATCTGGGAACACTAAATTCACGATATTTCTTTTTCTTCTCTTTGGGTAGAATTTCACTTAAAATTTTTTCAGTGTGTTTCTTCTTACCACATTTGCATTTAAGCAGTTGAACCCAACCATACTTATGTCTAATTCCACTCCTTCAAACTATTTCAGTTTATAGTAGAGTAACAGGTTGTTCAGATTTTGTAATACTTTTACGTGTGGTGATTTTTTTAAACTAGGTGATAGAATGGTTTTAAGAAATCGGGAGTACAGTGAACACGTGATTGAGTACAGTGTCTTTGTTCATGAGGTGAGTGAATATTTTATTAGTAATCTCATTGTATTTACTACCTCATGGGTTATCAAAAGGTAAGAAATCATGTTAATTATTCTTTCTGTTGAAAGTCACATGACTGTGGGGAAAAATGTTGTTCGGTTTGTATGTCTGGGCACACAGACATAGGTAAGTACGTTCTTCTTTAGGTATTTGCCTCTTTTGGAAAGTGTGGGTATAAAATAAAAATTTGAATGATTTTTATGCATAAAGGGAACTTGATATCTAAAGAAATCCTACAAAAACAGATTCATGTTTTGTACATATCGAGGTATAATTGAAGTGTACAGTTTAATCAGTTTTGACATATTTCTACACCTGTGAAACCATCCCCACAAACAACCATCACCCCAGTAGTTTCCTTGTGCCCCTTTGAAGTCCTTTCCTCTGCCCCTATTTGCAGGCAATCACTGATCTGCTTTCTGTCACTATAGACTAGTTTGCTTTTTCTAGAATTTTATATAGTAAATAGAATCCTACAGTATGTACTTTCTTTTGCCTTGTCATTGCATGTTTCAAAAGTTCATTCATTTTTATTACTGAGTGATGTTCCGTATATGGATATACCACGGTTGGTTTACTCATTCACCTGTTGATGGTTACTTGAGTTATTTTTAGTTTTTGGCTATTAGACCTAAAAAGTGCGCACATCTAAAGCATTACAAATTCAGTTTCTCTGTTTCCAGGGAAGTTGGAGCATATCAATTTCTATAAACCAATCATAACAGAACACCTTTATCCTGTATGTGTTAATACTCTTCAGAGGAAGGGAAATATTTCAGATTCACACAGTGAGAGTGGGAAAGAGGCATTTATCTCTTTTAGATACACAGGTACACAGATAACTTGTGTTTCAATCCTGTAGCCTCAATCATAGATCCAAAATGGCACACAGTAACTCACTGGTACAAACCTTTTCAGAGGGCACACACATTTTTCATGATTGATTTTAGCTTTCAAATAGAACACACAAATAAAAAATAGTGAACTAGATTCTCTCTTAATGCCATCTGATAGAGAAAAGGCCTGCATTATCCACCTAACACATCTCCAAATGGTCAGATTCTGAAACATGTTGCCACCAGTGAGCACAAATGCTGCTGATGGGTCAAGCAAAATAAGGGCAAAGAAGAGACCATTGTATTTATCAACGTGAAGGTTACTGGTGCCCTTCATAAGTGCGCAGTTGGGGCAAAACCTTCATAGGAGTGAGTTTAGGGAAATAGAGCAAAGAGCAATTGGAGACAGCAAGTATGGACAACTCTTTGGAGGATTTTTGTAGTTAAGTGGACACAGAGAAATGGAGCAATAGGTGGAGGGCAAAGTTCCCCCGAATTAGATAAAAGAAAGTCTTGTGAGCTTATAGAAATAATCCAATAGATGAGGGGAGGAAGAATACATTTTTTTTTATTGTTGTAGTTTAAGTGAAAGTTTACATTTCAAGGTAGATTCTTATACAAAAATTTATACATACATTGTTACATGACCCTAATTGCTCTCCGTATACTGTGACAGCACACTCCTCCTTTCCACCCCTGACTTCCCAGGAGTACATATTTTTTTTGAAGGAATGCCCTTATAGGTGACAAGAGATAGGATCTAGTGTAAAAGTGGAGGGGACGAAACAGTTCATTGAGCAAGCAGAACTGTACTTGAAGTAATATCCTCAAAGAGCTGACTGGGCATAACTTATACATAGAAGAGAATTGAAGTTTTTTTTTGTGTGTGTGCTTTAGGTGAAAGTTTACAGCTCAAGTTAGTTTCTCATACAAAAATTTATACACATATTGTTATGTGACCCTAGTTGCTATGCCTATAATGTGACTGCATATTCCTCCTTTCCACCCCGGATTTCCCGTGTCCATTCAACCAGCTCCTATCCCTTTCTGCCTTCTCATCTCACCTCCGGACAGGAGCTGCCCATTTAGTCTCATACATCTGCTTGAACTAAGAAGCACACTCTTCATGAGTATCATTTTATGTATTATAGTCCAGTATATTCTTTGTCTGAAGAGTTGGATTCAGGAATGGTTTTAGTTCTGGGTTAACAGAGAGTCAGGGGGTCATGTCTTCTTGGGTTCCTCCAGCCTCAGTCATACCATTAAATCTGGTCTTTTTACTAGAATTTGAGTTCTGCACCCCACTTTTCTTCTGCTCCATCAGGGAGTCTCTGTTGTGTTCACCATCAGGGCAGTCATTGGTGGTAGCTGGGTACCATCTAGTTCTTCTGGTCTCAGGCTGATGGAGTCTCTGGTTTATGTGGCCCCTTTGACTCTTGGGCTAATATTTTCCTTGTGTCTTTGGTGTTCTTCATTCTCCTTTGCTCCAGGTGGGTTGGGACCAATTGATGCATCTTAGATGGCCGCTTGCTAGCTCACTCACCAAAGTGGGATGCAGAACATTTTCTTAATAAGCTTTGTTATGCCAATTGACCTAGATATCCCCTGAAACCGTGTTCCCCAGACCCCCTGCTGCACTGTCCCTCAAAGTGTTTGGTTGTGTTCAGGAAACTTCTTAGCTTTTGATTTAGTCCAGTGGTGCTAACTTCCCCTGTTTTGTGTGTTGTCCTTACCTTCACCTAAGATAATTGTTGTCTACTCTCTAGTTAGTGAATAACCCTCTCCCTCCCTGCCCACCCTCATAACCATCAAAGAATGTTTTTTTCTATGTTTAAACATTTTCTTGAGTTCTTATAATAGTGGTCTCATACAATATTTTTCCTTTTGTGACTGACTAATTTCACACAGCATAATGCCTTCCAGATTCATCCATGTTATGAGCTGTTTCGCCGGTTCATAAGTTTTTTATCGTTGCATAGGATTCCATTGTGTGAATATACCATAATTTGTTTATCCGTTTGTCCGTTGATGGGCACCTAGGTTGTTTCCATCCTTTCGCTATTGTGAACAGTGCTGCAGTGAACATGGTTGTGCATATTATCTATTCATGTGATGGCGCTTATTTCTCTCGGATATATTCCAAGTAGTGGGATTGCTGGATCATATGGTACTTCTATTTCTAGCTTTTTAAGGAAGTGCCAAATCGATTTCCAAAGTGGTTGTACCATTTACATTCCCAACAGCAGTGTGTAAGTGTTCCAGTCTCTCCACAACCTCTCCAACATTTATTATTTTGTGTTTTTTGGATTAATGGTAGCCTTATTGGGGCGAGATGGTATCTCATTGTAGTTTTAATTTGCATTTCTCTAATGGCTAATGATCGTGAGCATTTCCTCATGTATATGTTAGTCACCTGAAGGTCGTCTTCGGTGAAGTGCCCGTTCATATCCTTTGCCCATTTTTTTTAATTGGGTTATTTGTCTTTTTGTGGTTGAAGTTTTGGCAGTATCTTGTACATTTTAGAGATTAGACCTTGATCGAATATGTTGTAGCCAAAAAATTCTTCCAAGTCTGTAGGTTGTCTTTTTACTCTTTTGGTGAAGTCTTTTGATGAGCATAAGTGTTTGATTTTTAGGAGCTCCCAAGTATCTAGTCTCTCTTCTGGTGCTTGTGCATTGTTACTTATGGTTCATATTCTGTTTATGCCATGTATTAGGGCTCCTAGCATTGTCCCTATTTTTTCTTCCATGATCTTTATCGTTTT